ACTTAAGAGTTTATTCACACTTTCATTAAGTATAACGTAAGATTTTGTGGTATCCACTAGTATAAATATTTTAATTTGAAGATCGAATTCATTCATTGTATTCATATAGGTTCAAGGAGTGTAGCTGCAAAAAATCATCAAAATCGGACTTAAAATAACCGTTAAATCGTCATTTTTCGTTGATAATCGTCGAAATTTTTTGTCCCGTTACTTCATCCCAGAATGTTTGTTTTTTGCGATTTTTTTCGTATACGATCTCGAATTATATACAAACAACGATTTTTTTCGTATACGATCTCGAATTATATACAAACATGTTTGACGGTTGGATCGTTGAAATTAGTTTCGTAGAATTCGTATAATAATTATATATATAATTATTATAGTTTTTAGGGGTGTAAAACTGTTAAATTAATATATAATTATATATAATTATTATAGTTTTTAAATTAATATATATAATTATATAAAACTGTTAAATTAATATATATAATTATATATAATAATAATTATAATTATTATAGTCTTTAGGGGTGTAAAACTGTTAAATTAATATATAATTATTATAGTTTTTAAGTTAATATATATAATTATATATAATAATAATTATAATTATTATAGTCTTTAGGGGTGTAAAACTGTTAAATTAATATATAATTATTATAGTTTTTAAGTTAATATATATAATTATTATAGTTTTTAAAACTGTTAATTTCACATCCCGGCCCGGGGCGTACCACTTTTCGGGCCCGCTCCACCACCGTAGCACGATATTGTCCGCTTTGGGCCCCGACCACGCCCTCACGGTTTTGTTTTTGGGAACTCACACGAGAACTTCCCGATGGGTCACCCATCCTGGGAGTGCTCTCGTGCGCTACTCGCTTAACTTCGGAGTTCCCATGGAACCCGAAGCCAGTGAGCTCCCGAAAGGCCTTGTGTTAGGTAGGATGGGAATATACATTTAAGGATCAGTCCCCTAGGCGATGTGGGATGTCACAATTAAACACGAGAGCACTCCCAGGATGGGTGACCCATCGGGAAGTTCTCGTGTGAGTTCCCAAAAACAAAACCGTGAGGGCGTGGTCGGGGCCCAAAGCGGACAATATCGTGCTACGGTGGTGGAGCGGGCCCGGGAAGTGGTGCGCCCCGGGCCAGGATGTGAAATTGGTATCAGAGCCTAACCCTGGCCGCGTGTGTGCCGACGAGGACGTCGGGCCCCTAAGGGGGGTGGATTGTGACATCCCACATCGCCCAGGGGACTGATCCTTAAATGTATATTCCCATCCTACCTAGCACAAGGCCTTTTGGGAGCTCACTGGCTTCGGGTTCCATGAGAACTCCGAAGTTAAGCGAGTAGCGCACGAGAGCACTCCCAGGATGGGTGACCCATCGGGAAGTTCTCGTGTGAGTTCCCAAAAAGCCTTGTGCTAGGTAGGATGGGAATATACATTTAAGGATCAGTCCCCTGGGCGATGTGGGATGTCACAGTTAAAACTGAAGGACGTCTCATAAACTCATCCTTAGGACATTCAGTTGCATGCCATCTCATATGTTCAGCCATATGCTTCGACATAAAAAATCGTTGCAATCGTGGTTTTAAAGGAAAATACCACATAACCTTAGCTGCGACCTTTTTCCTCGAGCTATCCTCTGCATTGGTAATTTTATATCTTGATTTACCACAAACTGAGCACACGGTCAAATCTGAAGTATCTTTCCAATAAATCATGCAATCATTGGGACATGCATCAATTTTCACATACGACAGCCCCAAATCATTTATAAGTTTTTTTGCCTTATAACAGGATTCAGGCAAACAATCCCCTTCAGGCAACATTTTTTTAATTAACTCCAGTAAAGTGGTGAAGATCTCGTCAGGCATTCCCGCTAAACACTTGATCTGATACAATCTTACAACTGCTTCCAATTTCTTAAACTCCTTACAACCTGGCCACAAATCTTGATCTGCCTCTTCAAGCAACTTAAAAAAAGTCTGCACCTCTTCTGGACGCCCTTCCCCAATAGGGGGCTCAGTAGATGGCCCAACACCTTCTTCTGTTAATGGTTGGACAAATACATCATTAAGAAAATCATGCATGCCAATCACCTCATCTCCTGTTTCTTCTTCTCCAATTCCCATATTTTGCTCTCCAATGTTTTGCTCGCCATGATATCGCCAACAAGCGTTTTTATAATCTTTATCCATATCATACAATATGAGATGTTCAACAATGGTGTTCCTAACAAAAGTATATCGATTACAACATCTTTTGCAAGGACATCTAAACTTATCAGGACCAACACCATTTGCAACTGCTTGATCCAAAAACAAATTAATTCCAGTTGTATACGCTTCAAAATTTCGGGGTATTGTCAACCAACTCTTGTCCATATTTTACCACTTTACGAAGGTAAAATATTACGTTGACACTAAGATGCCTACAATCTTTCAATCCCTATCATGTAGGCATAACTATCAAAATTTTCAATTTCTATCTTTCACCCCTCGAACTCTATCACGATTGCAATCTTTTAATTTTCAACACCTATTATAGTAAAAACAAATTAAAATAACAACAAAAAGTTATCAAAATTATGCTCATCTAATCCATTCTAATAAATAACAACCAAAAGTTATCAAACTTATCAAAATAACAACAAATTCAAATAACAATTAGAGTGCAAAAAAAAATAATTAATATATTCTTATATTCCTAATTATTATAAGTTTAGATTATATTCTTATATGAAAGGTTATATTCTTATATGAAAGGATATTCTTATATTATAAGTTTAGGTTATATTCTTATGAAAGGTTATATTCTTATATTCTTATATTCCTAAATATTATAAGTTTAGGTTATATTCTTATATGAAAGGTTATATTCTTATATGAAAGGATATTCTTATATTATAAGTTTAGGTTATATTCTTATGAAAGGTTATATTCTTATATTCTTATATTCCTAAATATTATAAGTTTAGGTTATATTCTTATTAGAGTGCAAAAAAAAAAAAAATTAACATAATATATTCTTATATTACTCAATATTATAAGTTTATGTTATATTTAATATTGTTAATTTAACATAAATGCTTATAAATATTATTCATTCCATTTTCTCATAACAATTCAAATTATGTTCATCTAATCCATTCTAGTAAATAACAACAAAAAATTATCAAAATAACAACAAATTAAAATAACAATTAGAGTGCAAAAAAAAAAAAAATTAACATAATATATTCTTATATTACTCAATATTATAAGTTTATGTTATATTTAATATTGTTAATTTAACATAAATGCTTATAAATATTATTCATTCCATTTTCTCATAACAATTCAAATTATGTTCATCTAATCCATTCGAGTAAATAACAACAAAAAATTATCAAAATAACAACAAATTAAAATAACAATTAGAGTGCAAAAAAAAAAATTAACATAATATATTCTTATATTACTCAATATTATAAGTTTATGTTATATTTAATATTGTTAATTTAACATAAATGCTTATAAATATTATTCATTCCATTTTCTCATAACAATTCAAATTATGTTCATCTAATCCATTCTAGTAAATAACAACAAAAAATTATCAAAATAACAACAAATTAAAATAACAATTAGAGTGCAAAAAAAAAAAAAAAAATTAACATAATATATTCTTATATTACTCAATATTATAAGTTTATGTTATATTTAATATTGTTAATTTAACATAAATGCTTATAAATATTATTCATTCCATTTTCTCATAACAATTCAAATTATGTTCATCTAATCCATTCTAGTAAATAACAACAAAAAATTATCAAAATAACAACAAATTAAAATAACAATTAGAGTGACAAAATTAATTAATTCGACTAAATTTTTATTAATTTAACAAAAATAGTAGAATTTTATCTAAGTGCTTAAATTATAATTTTTGAATAAATAAACTTGTGTATTATACAATTTAAAAATTAAAGAAGTTAGTGATACAAACCTGATTTGTTGAAGAATTTCGACGTCAACAATTCTTTATGTACTCAACCAACTCAAATAAATTTCCTACAAAAATAAATTGTAACTAAAAATTAAACATAAGAGGAGAAAATAAAAATATTATAAGCAAGAAGAACTTACTGTTGTGAAGAGGAACAAATGAAGTTTGAAAACCAAAGGAGAAAGCTGAAAGAGAGAGAACACGGGAGACTTTGTAAAAATTGGAAGAACGAATAAGAAAAGTGCAAGAGAAGAAAAAGAAAACACGGGGGAGAGGATATAAAGACCATCAATGTGTCGCTTACAACCGACACTGGTTTTCAAAATATATGGCGCTCAAAACCGACGCAGGATTTAAAATATTAAAAACAAGAATTAGTGTCGCCTAGAAGCGACACCCATAGTTTATGTCGCTTAAAAGCGACACTATTTTATTTAAAGCGACGCCAGTACTTAAAAATATTAAAATATATGTCGGTTATAAGCGACACTAAATTTTTACGTCGGTTTAAAAGCGACATAGAAATTTTATGACGCTTATAAGCGACAGTAAATACGACGTCATCTTCAGTGAGTGTCGCAAATCTCTTTTTCGCCACTATATAATATTAAACCGACGCAACAACTGACACTATTAGGTCCTTTTGTAGTAGTGATGGATGAAGAAGACATGGACGAATCTACACACAACCTTCTCCTCTCTGCAAAACTCAATGCTCTCCAAGTTATAGGTAATTGGAACAATAAGAGCATATTATTTGTGAGAGCAGAGGCTTGTGGTTTTTTATACTACAAAATCTGGATTACCCTATAATAATCCTACAAGGAATATAAGACCAAATCCTTGTACGAGTTCTATTCTTAAGCTTATCAACAGAGAGTTTCAATCCAAACCAAAGCCGAATTAACTCTCATAAACATATTAAGACTTCTTTATAGCAATATGAGACAACAAGGAACCAAACCATATGAATCACACTCATACTCTAACATGGGGATGATGCCGATGATGATGGGAAGAAGAAGGGGTTCAGCTACGTGAAAATGTATGGGTTGGAGAAATCTATGGAGGTGGTGGAGCAGCTTAGGGCCAAAGCTAAGCAGGAGTTGGATGGGTTTGAGAAGTATGGGGATGGAATGGTGCCACTTTATAGCTTTGTGGATTATGCTATTGATAGAGGTTTTAGTGTCAGTTATTGATAGAATTAAAGCATAAGCTTTATATGGTTTGATGTTTAATTTGCAGAAAATTGTATTATCATTTTGGATTAATCTTGCATTAGCATGTCCCATTAATTTCACATAGCAATTACAAGAGTGTTAGAAGAAGATAGATTGGGTTGAGCTGAATTTCCAAGTTGTGGGAGGGGGTTGGTTTTTTTGGAAGGTTCTAAAAGACATCAGGCACTAGTCAGGTGATGGGTAGAGGTCTAGCACTGCTTAGGGGGCTTAGGTGGTTTTTTTATTTTTTTTTATTTTTAATTTTAACTAAATTTATTGTGTAACATATAAATAAATATCTACTTATACTTAAAATATTATATAATTGTATTGGAATATATAAGTTGCAAAATAAAATGATATATAAATTATAAAATACTAAAACATATTGAAAACAGGGGGAAATAGGCAAATAATGAGTGTTCATTCAACTATTCAACAAGTTTCTTATAATTTATTGAAAAATAATGCAATATGAAAGTTATCTATTTCAATTTATATCTAAGTGAGAATTGCGACCTAAGCGGTCTAGGTAGGTAAGGCAGGCGCTTAGGCAGACCTAAATGTCATTTCTTATTTTTTTAATCATGTGGAGATTAATCGCAGTGGCCAACCGCTTAATGCCTAGGCAAAGATTTAAAAAAAAATGATCTTTTTAGATTGAGATTTTAGGATACAAACTTTTCACTTGGGAATTTTATTGCAAAAGTGGGTTAGTCTTGTTGGTCAAGTTAGTTGTGTGCCCGCCTACCTTCTTGCACTCAAATTTGAATTTGTTTTATAAATTATAATCTATTTCTTATATGAACAAAAACACATTAAAAACATTAACTAACTAATGATCATATTAGTATTCACATCTTTTGCAAAGTGTAAAACTCATTCACATTGAGGATAGTTCTCATTTGTAATCTTTTGGTGCGGGACACTTTTTTTCTTCGACCAAGTTGAAAACTCCGACAAAGCTTTTTATCAAGATCATTTGTATGCATCATGTCCTCATTGGCTTCGGATTCCGTAGGAACTCTGAAGTTAAGCGAGAAGGGGGCTAGAGCACTCCCAGGATGGGTGACCCATCGGGAAGTTCTTGTGTGAGTTCTCAAAAACAAAACCGTGAGGGCGTGGTTGGGGCCCAAAGCGGACAATATTGTGCTACGGTGGAGTCGGGCCTAGGATGTGGTCCCGCCTAGGCCGGGATGTGACAATGTTTTTAGAAAGGAAAATTTTATTTGAACCATTATAACTTTTTTCTACACCCAATTTACTCTCAGCACCCATATTATTTTCAAGTAAAAAACTAAAATCTCTTTAAACCCAAGTTTACTACCTAATCTACCCTTACAAACTCAATTCAATATGTAAATTAATCTTTACACCCATTTAAAAAATAAAATTCCAATTGAATAATTTTTATTAAAGAACTAATATCTCATTAATCCCAAATTGCATAAGCATAAAGTCGTATGGCATTCTTTCATTAATGTAATACAGTATTACGTCGCTATTGATGTAGTACAACATTATTTTGTGTAGAAATTAACATAATTTCTTAAGATGATGTACCCCATTGCTGGAGCTGTTGCGTACCTCACTATGGCTCCCATCGCTATTGTTGCTAGCTGATTTGTTTGTGTTGTGGTACCTGCTGCCTCCTAATGAACCAATTTTCAGTTATTCCATGATCTAAGGTAAGGGGTAGCAAACCCTTGTTTCTTTAGGTTAGCTCTAGATTTTCAACCATGGTGATGGAGTGGATTCGAGGAAACCAAATTGGCAGGGGAGGCTTTGCCACCATTTACACAGCAAAACACAATAACTCATCTTTTCAACTTTCAATGCTGATGGTTGTGATTGAAACTTAAAAACTCATATTCTCAACTCTAAAATAATTGAAATCAAACAAAAAAAAAATTGCATAAATCAATTCATACCTTAGTTGGAGGATTCAGAACTTCAAAATCACCATCCATTGATAAAAAAAAAAAAACTTGTTTATGTATAAGAGCTCTTAGGATTGTAGCTAAAATGAACGTAGGATAAACATTGCGTGAAACTAGGGTTTAATTATTGGGTGTGGGTTTATTGATAAATTTTAGTTTAATTGTTAATCTTATCATGTATGCAATAGGGCAAGAAAGATAATTCACATTTAAAGTTAAGTATAGAAAGATACTGTATGAATTCAAATAAAATTTTCCTTTTAAAAAGCATAAAGTAATACTGATATAATGCACAATAATTATGGAAAAATAAATATAATTACTTAATGTGATGAGAAAATGTGTCTTCTCAAGCTTACCTCTTCCAAATACATCAAAATTCACCATATTAGTAGCTAAGAGCATTTTCAATCTTGCTCCCTACTTTTAAGTCAAATTTTAACTAAAAATAAAAAAAAATTATTTTAAAAGTTCCCTAAAAAATTCAAGTCCAATCACACTCTCAAAATTAGGGAGTCGTGTAATTGTGACCAATAGAAAGAATTTTTTTTATTTAATATTGTATTAAAATTATAATAATTAATATTAGGAGCTTGTTTCTCGTCCTCTAAATTCAGGAGCTCCTACAGGTTTGTTATCCTAGCAGCATAATTGGAATGTAATTGGAGATGAATTTTTCCAATTTCTCCTTATATTTTGGTTAGGAGCTAATTTAGAGAGATCGTCACCGATTCTTTAACGCTTGATAAAGGTTGCATATTAGCCATATCTAAATTGATTACATGAGTGAGTTCCCTTTCTTGCATTCATGTTCGAACTTCTTAACCCGCAATTTAAATTAATTTAAGTAGAATATCGTGTATCAAAACTCTTATAAGAGAAAGAGTTTTGTAGTTCAATTAGTTAATACATTTTCTTTTGCGGCCGATATTGTGAGTTCAAATCTCTCATCCTCTGATATCGCTTTTAATTAACAAATAATTAACACTCCAATAAGGGCTTGGACTTTGGGCTTTGTATTTATTTTGGGCCAAGTAAAAACCAAAACCCAAATTCCAAATTACCTCGTAATTTGATCTAAAGTAATAATAGCGCCGTTCGATTGGCATCAAGATGCAGACTTTGCAGTTGCGGTGTCGTCAAACGGTAAACAACCAAAACAGTGATCTCATAAAATTGACGAAGAAGAAGTCTCAGAAGAAGCAAAAATGGCGGGGGAGACGAGCGAAAGCAGCAGCTCAATCGGGAGCCTACCCTCGGCCCTACTGGCCACCATCATGACAAAGCTCGACGTCACCTCTTTCTGCTCCGTCGCATCCACCTCCACCGCCTTCAAAGCCTGCGCCTCCCACATCCTCTCCTTCATCCCCTCCTTTCACATCCTCGTAATTCCTCCAACTTTTCACTTCTGGGTTTCCTCAAAATTTGAAATTTGGTAACTTTTTGCAATTTTTTCTAAAATTTTTGGTACTTTTTTATTTGGGTTTTCAGGAAATCGCGCCTTCCATGGAGTTGCTGAGGCCCCTGCTAGTCCCGAACCCGTGGCTGAAGAGCGTGAAGGTCAACTGCGGCCGGCTCGATGATTCCACCATTCAGGTTCTGCTTCAACCGTCGCTAGAGGAGCTCTGTATGCTCAATTGCACGGATTTTAGCGGCAAATTGCTTTCGGAAATTGGAGGTCGGTGCAAGGATCTGAGGTTGGTTTGTTTTCGACTTCTGTTAAGATGTGCTGCTTATTAACTCAAAAGTATTGATTGCTGGTGATTTTTTGAATTATGGAATGTGAAAAGGGTGTTGTTGTTATTGGATTTTGGGGATTATGAAATTTCCCTTCAGGTCTCTGTGCTTGGGGTCAGTTGCCGAAAGGAGAGGGCGGGCCATTCATATTTCCGATTTAGAAGAGTTGCTCAGTGGTTGCATTCACTTAGAAGTAAGACGCAATTAAACGATGATTACATAACAATCAAATGTTTAATGAGAAGTATTTGAGGAAAGATGTTGCCTTTTGAATCTACAAAAGACGCCAACTTTATAACTGATGGGTTATCGAAAAGGGTAATGCTAGGGAGACTAAATTTTTTAAACCAAATGATGTGGTTGTTGTAGATGATTGGATGATTAATTAAGTGTCGATTAATGTGCTTGTTTATTATTGGTGACACATCATTTGGTTTAAAAAATTTGGTCTCCCTAGCATTATCCTATCAAAATGTTGAGTTTGTTAATCGGTTAGGTTCCTCCTCAGCTGAATAATTAAATGTTCGGTAGCAGTCTTGTTTGCATCTTGACTCTTGACATTAGATGCTTAATATTTATGTTTACTTAATAAGCAAATGTTTAACAACAAGGATTTGAGTAAACATTTTGCCATTTGAATCTCTGTGGAAGATGCTAACTTCATAACTGATTGGTTGTTGCGAATGGCGAGTTTGTTAGTACGGATAGATTCCTCTTCAGTCATCTGACTGATGATTAACTGGTTGGTAGCAGTCTTGTTTGCATTTTGACATTAGATGCTTTAGTTCCATTAATTGCAATGTACCGATAAAGCACATTTGTGTTACTGCCGTACTGGTACATCATAATTGTTTAGGTTTATTCGTCTAATCTCTGTTTGATTATATTTGGTAGGCACTGATCTGGATGCTTAATGTATCATCAATCTATCTCCATCATAACTTCGCTCAAGTTTGGGCTTTGGCGTCGGATAAGCTCACATGTCTCAAGATTGGCTACATTTCATCATTAATGGTGACTGAACTACTTTGCCCAAATTTTGAATCCCATCAGTCATCAAACCGTATTCAGCTTCAATATTGCCAAACATTCACAAATTGTACCTTTCAGTTGACTATATAACTGATGCTATGTTTGGAACGATTTCTAAAGGTCTCCTCTCCCTCACCCATTTGGATCTTAGAGATGCACCCCTCATAGAACCAAGAGTTTCATTTGACCTTACAAACTCTGGCCTTCAACAGATTAATCAGCATGGGAAGTTGAAGCATCTCTCATTGGTTAGGAGGCAGGAGTATGTTATTACCTATTTTAGAAGAGTAGATGATCTTGGGCTCCTCTTATTAGCCGACAAGTGTAAAAACATGGAAAGCATATTTCTCAGTGGCTTCTGTCGTGTTACAGACACAGGTTTCAAAACGATCCTGCATTCTTGCTCCAAATTATATAAGCTTAGGGTGTCTCATGGGACTCAGTTAACCGATTTGGTTTTTCATGACATTTCTGCAACTTCCCTTTCTTTAACGCATGTTAGCTTGAGGCGATGCACTCTTTTAACCAACCTTGCAGCGACTAGTTCGGCATCTAACAAGGATCTGGAAGTTTTGGATTTGAGAGATTGCAGAAACCTCGGGGATGAATCCCTCCGAGCCATAAGCACTCTTCCAAAAGTAAAGACATTGTTGCTAGATGGCTCTGATATTAGTGATGTGGGATTATCATATTTGAGACCAGTGGTTATAAGTTCACTAATTTCATTGTCTGTTAGAGGATGCAAGAAACTTACGGATAAATGTGTCTCTGCTCTATTTGATGGCTCTTCCAAGTTGGAGTTGCAAGAATTAGACTTGTCCAATCTTCCTTATCTCCGATAATGCAGTTTTATTACTGGCAAAGAGTAGGATTCCGCTACTTGAACTGCGCATGCGGCAATGTCCACTCATAGGTGACACTTCAGTAATGGCATTAGCATCTATGCAAGTTGACCAGGAGAGGTGGCATGGTAACTGCTTAAGGTTGTTGGATCTGTTTAATTGTGGTGGGATTACTCCACTTTCCTTTCAGTGGTTGAGGAAACCATATTTTCCAAGGCTGAGATGGTTGGGAGTTACGGGTAGTGTAAATAGAGATGTGGTAGATGCTTTGGCTCCAAGTAGACCGTTCTTGCATGTATCGTGCCATGGTGAGGAGCTGGGAGTTGAGCAAGGGGATACTGCCGATGATGTTTACGTGCATGACTTTGATGAGATGGACGAGCTTGAACAGTGGCTTGCAGAAGATGATTATGTTGATGAAGATATGGTGAACGCAGAGGCAGTGGAGTGATCGGACACTTAGTTCCATCATGTTATTGTTTATAATGGTAATTCTGTTGAAACTATAGAATGTATCATCGTTTTTCATGACAAACGATTTAGTACTCTAAACTCGATTAAGGGGAGTGGTGAGGATTTGAACTTGAAACGCAGTGGGATGAAGAGGAATTCATTGGGACAATGCACCATTTCCAAAATGTATCATGGTTTATTGATTAGTGTTTTACTAGGTGCTGTATGATCTACACCAAAGTTTAAACTTTAGAGCTTGTTTGATAATTATTTTTATTTTTGTTTTTACAATTGTGCTTTAGATATGAAGAAAGCATATGAAGGAAATGAGGGATGAAGAAAGATGGTTCGAGGGAGGGAGGGAAACAATAAGAAGAATGAACGAAGACATAATCTTGAAAGTGAAATAATGTAAACTATTTATATTTTCATTATTTGTACTGATACATTTCTTTTATACCTCTCCCACAATCCTTCTTGCACTCTTCTATATTCTTTCTCCCAGGTGTAGTTTTGTCTCTTAACACAAAAATTAAAACTAAAAGTAAAAATAAAATAGTTATCAAATGACCTGATAATTTTTGTGGCATATAAAACCAAGAAACATGAGTGTAACATGTTCTCCTACTAGTAGTAAAGTAGCTTCTTTAATTTACGAAAAAGGTGAGTGTACATTTTGTGTGGGAAAATGTTGTGTAAAAGGTACATCGGACAGGAGTTGTGCAGACATTTCAAACTTTTCGGATCCCTTTTCTTCCCTTCTCAGTAACAAGTCTCACTGCCTACAAATTCTTCTAACTGATTGTGTTTTGAGCTACATAAATGCATGGGAATAACACTTGTGAATCTTAGGGTTTTTCTTTGAGATACTTTGATCTTTTCCAGGGTTTTTTTTTTTCTTTTTTCCTACCATGAGCTTGTGCTAGTAGAGGCAAACTAGTTGCCACCGAGTTGGTGGATTTGAGAGCATGATAGGCCCAAGAATAATCAAAAGAATGCATAAAAGTCTTGAAATCATCTACAATCAAACACAGAGACCTAAGAATCTGAGATGACACTCCAAAGTTGTAAGAACATCATTATTGATGAAAAATTCAAACATTTTTACACTAAGGGGAGGAGGTGAGCTTAACCTTATAATGGACTAGCACTAATGTGGTTCAAATTTACTTTTGGCAAGAATCAAACCTAATTAAGATCTCTCACTTACAAATGAAGAATAATACAATTAGACTGTAGTACTAAGTGGCAATATTTCTTGATTAAACACATAAGAAATTTTGCACACAATTATTGTATATAACAAACAGGACGACACTCTTTGATACTTATTTTAGCATCAAATAAAATGCATTACACATGCCCAAAATAATATATCAAATCATGCAAGGGTAAGTTGGTAATTTAGTCATCATAAAATATAATATATAGTGTCACCGGCTTTGACAAAAAAATGGGACCAAACTGCCCCTTAGCCAAAAAAAATTCAAAACTTGCCCAAAATAATATATCAAATCATGCAAGGGTAAGTTGGTATTTTGGTCATCATAAAATATAATATAAATATAAATGGGAAGAGAGAAAAGAATAAAAAAATGAAAGGGAAGAGAGAAAAAAAATAAATAAATAAACAAATGATAAAGTTGATGGTGCCCACGTGATGGGGAAGAAAAATATAATAAAAAATAAGAAAAATCATGAATGTTGTGTTCAAAACATCTTAAGAGGCGCGTAGCGCCAGTGATAAAAAAAAAAGAAAATAACGAAATAAAAAATTTTTAAAGCAATTCACGCACATAAATACATTTAATATGTCTAAGTCACGCGTAGCGCATTGCGATTCAAAAAATGCCTTGTGCACCAGTTGTTTATTAAATATTATTTCTCAATTTTTAAACACTTAAGAGGTGTGACAGCCCGTTCTAGAATTTTCGAACCGTAAGGGTGAAATGACGATTTTGCCCCTAGTATGATTTTTGGTTGTGTGGTTGTTTTTGGTTTGTTGTTGGCAGGTTGTGGACCACACACACACACTCTCCCATATTTCCTTCACCCTTTCCCTGCCCTGCACCCTGTCCCGAGCCCTTTCTCTCCCCCATTTCCCATCCCATTTGTACGGACATACCCCAAAACCCTCCAAACCTTCACAGATCGAGAAAACAAAGTGCATATTCATGTTCCTGAGGTCCGTAGGAGTCCAACCATACCCATTTCAGGTAAGGATACCTTCGTTTTCACGTCGAACTCGGGGATACCCCGATTTTGTCACTGTTCATGCACACGTTAATTCTTGTGTTTTTGGGAATTTCAAGCTTGTAGGAAGCTTGGTGAGGTCCTTAGTAGGCTCGGGGTGGTTCGTTTGAAGGTTTTGGATGTCGGGATCATGAGTTACAAGGTTGGCCGGAGTTGGGTGGAGTTTTCCCGGCGAGATTCCGTGGATTTTAGTGCTTGAAAGTGGTATAGATTTGTTCCTCTCGTTGTAAGCTTCATTTTGGTACCAATTTGGTGAAATTTGGTTGAAAAACGAAGAAGATACGAAGTTTTAAAATTTTCAAGATTTTTCGGCGCCGGCGACGACGCCGGAGCTTCGCCGGAGAAGACGACGGAATATTCCGTCAGTTTGGACGGAATATTCCTAACGGCGTCAACGAAATCCGTTAAAGTTAATGGAATATTCCTAACGGCGTTAACTGACGCCGTCAGCGTGCCAGGCACGTGCCCGCGCGTGGCCGGCGTATGGGGCTGTGCCTTGGCCTGCGCATGGGGGCGCGTGCGACGGTGGAAATTTTTTCTAAAAATATGGGGATGTTCCTGAGGTTGAGTAGATCACATTGGTGTATTCATACACCCCATTTGAGCATTGTATGAGAAGTTACTTCATAAGGTTGGTTATGTGCTTTAAAATTAACGTTTTTATAGTTGTTTCGCATATAGGTGAGATCTATCCCAGTGAGTGGGCTTTTGGTTTTCCGTATATACCTATATACTTATACTTTTCCCAGGAAGTGAAATTGAAACGTTATACGTTTATATGCCATGCTTATTGTTTGCCATTATTTACGCATTATTAGTCGTGTGTGTATATATATATATAT